AAATGAGCTCAGGCATCCCGTGGCAGAAGGCCTGTTGTGGGGAGAGGGTCCCTGAAAAAGTGCTGCAGTTCTCAGTTCTGGGATCCCCACCTGCCTTTAGGGCGGGTCCTCCTCTGACCCCGCCCCCTTACGCAAAGGCTGCAGCTGTGTGCAAATGCTATGCAAAGGGGGCCGAGCCACACACACACACACAGGCCTTTGTCTTCCCTTGCCAGGAACCTGAGTCATCAGGATCTGTTTGACATGGCGCAAGCCGAACAGCCCCTTCTCTCTTGCCTCACCTTTGGGGCCACGCAAATGTGGTGGCCACACTGCTTCCCCTCCCAGAGTGGCAGAGGCCAGCTCTTCTCCGGGCTGATTGGCAGTTTCTGGGTTCCAAGCTCAGCCTAGCACTGATGATGTTCCCTAGTTGGGTCATGAGATGTCTGCAAGAAAAGAACCAAGGGCAGAGAGCACCCAGGAGCCCACAGCCGCCTCCTCCTCGTCCCCCTTTCAGCGTGATTGTTTTCCTGCAGGCCTTTCATGACCCAACTAGGGAACATCATCAGTGCTAGAAGGGAGGGGTCTTGCTCTCTCAACAACCTAACCAACGAAAGACCAAGAACACTCCCACCAACACTGACAGGGCAACCCATTCGTATATCAGCAGAGAGCAAGTCCCACTCCCTTCAGCACTGATGATGTTCCCTAGTCGGGTAATTAAATGTTTGCAAGAAAACAGCCAAGCTCAGAGAGCACCGAGGACCCCACAGTCTTCCTCCTCCTCCTCCGAGGACCCAATTCTCCTGGCAAGCCCAAGAGGAGAACTTGGCAGGCAGCCCCCTGAGCCTGGGGAAGGAGACCCCCAAAGCTGCTCAGGACTAATCCAGGTGCCCGGCCACCTTTCTCAGGCCTTTCCCCAGCGACCACAGCTGCCCCCCCCTCCCCTCCCCGTGTCAAAGAGTAGCCAGTAAGTCCAGGGGCAAAAGCCACAAGGGCTTTCTCTTCATTGCACAGAGCAAACTGGTTTCCTTGCTGTGTCTTGCGCTGAATCAGCCCCTCCTTTCTGCCTCTTAAACGCTGCAATTACTTTGGGATCCCAAGCACGACCTTTGACCTTCAGGCGGCACCCCTCAGAGGATGGACGGCTGTCCCAACCCTTGACCATCCGCTCCCACAGCCAAACGGCTCACCCTCAGAACAAAGGGGGATCCGGGCGGTTTTTGGACCCACAGAAATCCAGAGTTGCTAAAGGCAACCAAACCAGTCAAGACCCCATTTTGTTCCCATGGGGGCAGCCCTGGGAGTGCCTGGATGCACTGGGCACCCCCCCCTCAGGACGGCAGGCCAAAGCCCCTCCCCTCCCCTCCCCTCCCCAGGAGAAAGATGCTACCCAGGATTTACAAACCACCATGGCTGCATCACGGAACTCACGGAGCCCAGGTCCACAAGACTCCGTTATGGGGGAGCTCTGGGGGGAAGGTGTTTGGGGCCAGCCAGGGACACAAAGCTGTCCTTCCCCACAACATGTGCTGGAATTCCCATGTCAAGCAGCTCTTTGGGTTGCTGACATCCGAGGCCTGGAAGTCACAAGCAGCCTTCCTTCTCTTCCCAGTTTAGCTAGAATCAGGATGGGGCCATTTGAGGCCAGGATAATGTGGGCCTCGGGTTCAGGAGTTAGGATGGAAGGGGGATCCTGTCAGGGGGGGGCTTCCTGAGGGAGGAGGAGGAGGAGGGGAGGAGGAGGAAAGGAGAAGGAGGAGGAGCAGGAGGGAAGGAGGAGGAGGAGGGGAGAAGGAGGAAGAGGAGGAGGAAAGGAGAAGGAAAGGAGGAGGAGAAAGAGGAGGAAAGGAGGAGCAGCAGGAGGGAAGGAGGAGGAGAAGGAGAAGGGAAGGAGAAGGAGGAAAGGAGAAGGCAGAAAGGAGGAGGAGGCAGCCAAGGGCCTTCGGGACAGAGAAGGTCACTCCATCCTGAGCTGCTGGATAATGACATCAGCTCTTTTTATGGCTCTCGTTGACATAAAACGCCGCTATTTCGCTCGATATTGATCTGTTTTACAGGACCTTTTAAAAACGTATCTGGCCGGGAACGAGTGCCGGGTGTACACAAAGCCTCTGAGAGGGTGCAGGGAAGGTGGCTTGCGAATCCCAGCAGGAAACACCACAAATGTTCCTGGTGAAGAGATACAGGTAGCCCTCGACTTAACAACAGTTCATTTAGTGACATTCAAGGTGACAATGGCACTGAAAAAACTGACTTACGACCGTTTTCACACTGTTGCGGGAGTCCCATGAACACGGGATCCAAATTCAGAAGCGTGGGAACTGCCTCATATTTATGATGGTTGCAGTATCCCGGGGTCTGCAGTGATTCACTTGACAACTGTGGCAAGAAAGGCCCTAAAATGGAGCAGATGTCTCACTTAGCCACAAAAATTGGGGGCTCCATTGTGGTCATAAGCCGAGGACTGCCTGTGCACAGGCTTGGCTGAAGAATCTGAATTTGGAGAAGACTCAGTCCCCAAATGCAGATCCTTCAGCCAAGTGGGGGTATTTAAGAAGGGAATTTTTGTAGCTCTGGGTTGGATTGGGGTCCTCTGAGCTGGGAGGGGTTTTTTCTTGCAGACGTTTAATGACCCAACTAGGTGACATCATCAGTGCTAATAATGATGATGATAGCGCTGATGATGTTATCTAGTTGGGTCATGAAACGTCTGTATGAAAAGCACCAAGCTCAGAGGGCAGCAAGGACCCTGCAGTCTTCCTCCTCCTGCTCCCTGCAATCTCCACTCCTTTCTAGCACTGATGAAGTTTCCTAGATAGGTCATGAAATGTCTGCAAGGAAACCACCAAGCTTTGGATCTCTCTTCACCAGGGGCATATCCAGGATAAATATGGCTCCCAACCTTGAGCCAGGGGTCCTGAGATGGCAGAGCCCCCATTCCACCATCACAAAAAAGGATGCCAAAGCCTATAATGCACCGACTGCGCCATCCAAGAGGGGGGCCATTTTCCCAAGCTGTGAAGCCATTTGTCAGAAAAGGTGTAAGGCCTCCTGCTTGAGCAGGGGGTTGGACTAGATGACCTACAAGGTCCCTTCCAACTCTGGTAATCTGTAATCTGAAGCCTGGAATCACATCTGAAGAACCCTTTGCAGGAGGGGTGAGCTGAGCCAGATTGCTAACTAACCAAGGCTGGTAGGTAACCGGGTTTTGCAACTCACTGGTCTGTTCCCCCCCTCCCCCCCCCACACACACCCTTGACCCTAGGCCTCTTGGCACTCTGCAGGGAGTTTTGCTGGTTGACTGAGAGGACATATTGGGGAGATTACAGAGGGGCTCCAGCAGTTACATGGGAGGAGGGGAGCATCTCTTTCTCCCTGGATTGGCACTCCTACAGAAAACCCTGACAGTCTCATCTCAGTGGTCTCCCCCACATCCCAGGCATTGTGGCAACTCTGTACAATGGTGCAATGGAGGAGGGCAGTTACGTTGTGCATCAATTCTGAACCAAACAAGAACAGAATAACAGAGTTGGAAGGGACCTTGGAGGTCCTCTAGTCTAACCCCCGCCCAAGCAGGAGACCCTACACCATTTCTGACAGGTGGCAGTCCAGTCTCTTCTTGGAAGCCTCCTGTGATGGAGCTCCCACAACTTCTGTTCCGTTGGTTGATGGTTCTCACTGTCAGAAAATTCCTCCTTATTTCTAGGTTGAATCTCTCCTTGATCAGTTTCCATCCATTCTTCCTTGTCTGGCCTTCAGGTGCCCTGGAAAATAGCTTGGCCCCCTTCCTCCTCTCTGTGGCAGCCCCTCAAATATTGGAAGATGCTCTCCTGTCTCTCTTGGTCCTTCTCTTCACGAGACTAGCCAGGCCCAGTTCATCCTATGTTTTAGTCTCCAGTCCCCTCTGCACTCTTTCAATGATATCACTAGCCCCCCCCCAACAGACTGGAGAGATACTCTCAGAAGGGTCCCCCCAATCTTAGTGGGATACCACAAGGGACCTCACTCCTCCCTGGGTGAGGCAGGCATGGAGCAAACAGGCAGCCACCAGAATCTGTCTCCCAAGCAGGAGGAAGGAGGCCCTGGCAGACGGTGGGTCTCAGCTATGGGGAAGTCCAGAAAAGGAACTTCGGGCTTTGACGGGCAGCCTCCCCAAAGAGGGATGGAAAACGCAAGTCAGCATTTTCAGTTTTTTGGGGGGGGGGAGTTGTGACGGGAGGAGGTCTTAGGAAAAGGGAAAGGTTAACCAGCATCTAGCCAGCATGGTTAAATGGGGAGGGAAACGGGCAATTTCCCAGATTTTGTGAGACTGTGCCTTCCTTCCATCTTTCAGGGGCCCAGGAAGGGCTAAAAGACCCCATTCACACTGGGAAATGGAGGGGGGCTTGGAGGAAGTCACCAGCCTTGATGTCCCCCCCCCCCGCCCCAATTTCCCTGGGTGGGAACAGAGTAACATGGAAAGAGAGAGGTGGAGGCACCTTTTTGTCTGAAATGGTCCAGGATCTCCTGCTTGAGCAGGGGGTTGGACTAGAAGACCTCCAAGGTCCCTTCCAACTTTTGTAGCTTCTCCCCCTCCCCAATTGCTTCCAGCTGCTCTTCTAAAGCAGCCTCCCTGCAAGGGGGCGCCCCCCATATCCCTCACCCCATCAGATCCCGTATCATGCGAGGGTGGGCAGATTCTGGCGGCCCTGGGGATTTGCTAGTCCTAATTCAACTCCTGCTCCGGTTGAAAGAGGCGTCCTCCCTCCCCCTCCCGAATCGCTCCTCCCGGCTTGGTCGCCCGCCCGCCCAAGAAAGGGGCTCTTTCACCGCGGGGCCCCCCCTCGGCCCCCCTTTAGCCGGCAGGCCACCCTCAAGGAAAGGAGGCGCAACCTTTGTATTTGCGCCCGAAAGAAAGGTGGGCCAGCGCATCGCTTTGGAGCAGGAATCGAGCCTCCCTGCGCCAGGCCAGTCTACCGCAACCCAAGCGGGACGGACGGACGGACGGAGGAGGGGACGTTCAGCGCCCGGCTCCTTACCCAGAGGCGGCGGTGGGCGATCCCGGGGGCGAAGCGCTCCTTAAGCAAGCCACGCTTGGGCTCCGACGGGGTTCGAGCCAGAGCTCGGAATGAAGCGAAGCCCCCCGGCGACCCTCCGCCAGCCGCCGGCGCGCATGAAGGGGGCGCTTCTCCTCCGGGACCCCCGCCGCTTCCGACCCTACAAGGGCGGCCGGACGGGGGGCTCTGCCGCCCACCCCCCTCCCCCGGGCGGCCCCGCCTGTCCTTAGGAGCGCGGGCCAAGGAGGCGCGCCGGCTTCGGGGCAGGAGGCGCCGCTCCTCGCGCTCCGTGTCCGCCGGGGGCGCCAGGCAGGAGGCGGCGGCGGGGGTCCCGGGCGGGCGGGCGGGGCGAGGCGAGACCCACCTGGGCTCATGGCGAGCGAGCGGGCGGCGGCGGCGGCGGTGCTCCCGGGCGGCGCGCAAGAGGAAGTGTGCGCGGCCGGAGGAAGTGCGCGAGGCGGGGCGCTCCGCCGACGGGGAACTTTCCCGCCGCCTCCGCCCCGGGGAGGGAGGGAGGGAGGGAGGGGGGCGGCAAGCGGAGACACCCCCCCGCCCCCGTCTTGGCTTGGGGGCTCCCGGGATTCTAAGCGCCCCTGGCCCAAAGCCCCCGCCGCCTCCGGAGAAGCGCAAGCCACGCCAAGCCTTGCCCCGTCGGGGTCTCTGGCGCCGCCGTCCGTCGCCTCTGCTGGGGTTGGACTGGCTGAGCAGCTCGGTTGATGTGTCACTGCACGCCCTGCTGGCCTTCCTGCCCTCTTCCCGGGGCTCTCGGCCTTCGAAGGGCGGCTCCAGGCTAGCGACTGGCCGGCCGCTTTGCCGGCACGAGACACGGGCGCCCCGCCCGCCCGGAGAAGCCTCGCCTGCAGGCGCTACCCCGAGCCTTCAGCCGGAGGTCCCCGGATCCAGGAGCCCCTCACCCCACGGGAGGCGCCTGCCGAGCTGGCCTTTTGGGGCAGGGGCTTCCCAGCCTCCCCACCTCTGATAGGGCCAGGCTACCTGCGGAGGGTGCGCCCATTCCTAGCCCCTTCCCCTAAACCTTGCCACCTGATGGGAGCTGGGAAGGTGCCTTTTCCGTGGCCCTTAGCCCAGTTCCTCCGCCGGCCCCCAAGTTCGGCCTCTTCCCTTAAGGCCTTAAAGACCGGGGCTTCCCCCAGGAACCTCAGCAATGATGGGTGCCAAGGCTTGGTTGGTTTCCAGGTTTTCTGCTTTAACTGGTGGTTTTATAGTTTTCAAAATAATTTTATATGCCTTTTAATCTTTGTTGGGAGCCGCCCAGCGTTCATTTATTTACTTCGTCAAACATGTAAAAGATAACAGGTTTAAGAAGTATAAATATGAGCATAGTAAATGGGTACGAATAAATGGAGCCAGTGGTGGGGGTTGCCTGAAAGACCGGCAGCTACAGTAAGTAAATGTTTTAAAAACAAAAAAATGTTGAGGCTCTAGAAAGAGTACAGAGACAGCAACAGAGATGACAAAAAGGGTTTGGAGGGAAAAACATGAAGAATGGGTTGCAGGAATTGGGTGTGTGTAGTCTAAGGAAGGTAAGGACGAGGGGTGATAGTAGTTTTCCAATATTTGACAGGCTGCCCCAAAGAAGGGGGGGGTCAACCGTGTTGCTTATGCAGGTAGATCACCTCCAGGCGATTCCTTGAAATACCCGCTCAGCTCTTTCTTGGAATTGTTATTCTGCAACACTTCGACCTGCAAAGCTGTAAAAGCCCACACATCGCCCTGGTTTTCCTTTGGAGATGCGGTTTCCCCCGTTAATAAAAGGCTTCTTTAAAACCATTCATTTCTCAAGCAAGAAGCCTGCGACGACCTGGCTGGCCGGATTGCAGCTGGGGGCGAGGGGAAGCTCCAGGCCGAGGAGGGGGGAGGAGGGCTGCGAAGGAGGGCAACTGCCATTTGCAACGACTTCCTTATTCCGAGCCATGACCACGCGGGGCGGGTCCTCCGTGGGGTTTTTCCCGACAGAGGGGAAAGAAAGGCGGCGTTCTTTTCACGCCTCCAGATGGCATCTGGAAAGGCCATTTTTGCTCCAGTTTTTTTTTTTTTTTTTTTTTGCATGCATGCCCAACTTTGACAACTTCAACTCCCAGAATTTCCCAGCCAGCTTTGGGAATTCTGGGAGTTGAAATCCGTAAGTCTTTTGTTTTTGAATTTTTTTTAATTTTTAAACAAACATACATAAAAACACAAAACCATCTTCAATTATACACAGTGTGTCGGTTGGTTACAAGTCTTTTGTGCATCTTCACCATATTCATAGCTTACAGTTTACCTAAATTCTTATATTATCGATCTAATATATATCTATGTATTATTGTCCTCATTGATCATTTATTTGACTACAGCTATTCTTCCCCCATTTTGTACAAAATATTCTAAGATTTGAGTTAATTTATATTATAACATTCATTTCATCACTAAATCGATCCAATAATACATCTTTGTTATATTTTATGTAATACTACAATTCTTGTATTATAAAAATCTCTCATCTTCTTTCATTCCCATATTTTTTTATCTAACCATTGATAAAATAAGTCCCATATCTTATAATATTGTTTACCTTGTTCTCTAATTTCAAATGTCAATTTGCTCATTTCACCACATTCCATTATTTTCTTAATATCTTCATCCTGTGTTGGTATATTTTTTTCATTTTTCCAATTTTTAGCAAACAGAATTCTAGCCGCTATTAATACATTCAAAATCAGGTATCTCAATTCTCTGTTATATATTTCAGGTACAATCCCCAATAAAAAAAATCTCTGATTTAAAATCTGTGTGTTTTTTTCCAACCATGTGTGGATTTTAGTCCAGTATCTTTTGGCTTCTGCACATGTCCACCACATATGGTAATATGAACCCGGTATCTGATGAGATTTCCAACATTTTTCAGATTTATTCTTGAGCATTCTGGCTATTCTCGTCGGGGGTACATGTAAGACATCTTATACAAATTTTCTTTATATGCAGAAATCTATAAGTCTTAAAGTTGGCAAAGTTGGACACCCGCGTTCTACGGACTTTTAATATTGCTATTGCTTAACGCATTGTAAGCCGCCCTGAGTCTCCGGAGAAGGGCGGCATATAAATCAAATTAAAAAAAAAAATAGTGGGAAACGGTTTATTTAGGAAAGAAGGCCGGGCGGGGAGGGGAGAACGGCGTCTGTGTTCCCCACCCGTCCATTCATCCCCCAACTAGTCCAACCTGCGTGCCCACAGGTTGTGCGCGTCTACGACACGCGTCCAAGCCGCGAACGGCGGGGCGGGACGGGAGCCGGAGCTTCCCACGCTGGTGGGCTCCGTACAGGCGTCTCCACGTGCGTCCGCGCCTCCTTCCGCCGCTAGGGGCCGCTGCCAGCCCGGCGCTCCCTCTCCGCGGCCGAGCCTTGTGGTGATTGGCCTGCGGAGCCGAAGGGGCGGGTCCGGCCACGCCCCTGGCGCCTGCCCGGACTTGGTGCGCGAGCGCCGGGCGGGAGAGACCATTCGGCGCCGCGGGGGGAGGAGGAGGAGGGGACGGACCACGCGGGCGGGCGGGTGGGGGAGCGCGGCGGAGGGCGCGCCGCTTCCGGGAGGGGCTCGCCTGAGCCGGAGCTGCACCGGACGCGCTGCCACCTGCCGCCCCGAGGCCGGGCCGGGCCTGCCGATGCGGGAGCGGAGGTGACCCGGCGACATGGCGCTGTGGGGCCGCATCGCCCTCGGGCTGCTCTGCGGCCTCGTCCTGCCGCCTCCGGGCCCCGCGGAGGGACCCCCCGGAGCCCCCCTGGACGAGGCCCCGGTGGAAGGGGAGGGGGGGGCCGGGGGGGGCGGGGGAGGGGGTCTCCGGAGCCTTTCGGTGGGGGGGGGCAGCGGGGACTTAGGGACTGGACTCCAGCGCCCATCATCCCCTCCCTCCTTCCATGCGGGACTCCCAAGCCCAGAAGCCCCCGACTCGGGACGGGCTGCGCTGCCCAGGATCCCCCCGTGGCGGAGGAGGCTGCTGGGGGCGTCTGGCTGAGGGTCTCGTGGCGGGGGGGGGGGGGGCATCGCCGGGGGGGGGGCCCGGGGGGAGGAGGCGGGGGGGTCCCTGCCCCCCCTTCGCAGATGCCTCCACCGCCGCCGCCGCCACCTGCGCTCCGCCCGGCCCGAGTCGGCGCTGGCAATGGCCGCGGGAAAGTCCGGTGCCGCCGTCCGTCCGCTCGCTCGCTCGCTCGCCTGCCTGGAGCGCTGCGCCTTCCCCGCCGGCCGCCTCCCTGCGCGCCTCTCGCCTCCCGCGACCAAGGCCGCTTTTCTGGGGGGTCGTTTCTATCCTGGAGCCCTTTTCGCTCCCTGCGGGGAAGCTTCCCTCGAGGCTGCCGGGCGGAGCTCCTGCTGGGCAAGAGGAGAAGTTGCCCCTGTGGAAAGGTCTTGGGCCCGGGAAAGAAAGAAAGAAAGAGAGAGAGAGAGAGAGAGAGAGAGAAAAGAAAGAAAGAAAAAAAGAAAAAAAGAAAGAAAGAAATAAAGAAAAAAGAAAGAAACAGAGAGAGAGAGAAAGAGAGAGAAGAAAGAAAGAAAGAAAGAAAAAAGAAAGAAACAGAGAGAGAAAGGAAGGGAGGGAGGGAGGCTGCTGCTGAGGGGCTCTGGGCGTTTGGAGGAGCAGGTGCCGGCCGCCTTTGGGGGGAGTTGGCTGGCCAGGCCCGGCCCTGCAGCACCCAAGGGTTGCTCGGTGGCTGCCGTGGAGCCTGGCAGCCCTTGCAGGAGAGAGAGAGAGAGAAAGCCCCGGGAGGCCGGCTCTGCAGGAGGGGGAGATGGGCTGTCTTGTGGCCTGCCTGCCCTTGGACTGAGCCCCTGGTGTGGGTAGTCGTGGTGGGCAAGGGACGCAGAAGGCCCCCTGGCCATCAGGTTCCCGTCAGGTTCGTGGGGGCAGAAGCAGGAAAGCCCGGCTGGATCCAGGCTGGGAAACAGAGGTTACTTCAGCAAGAGGGCTCCAAACGTGGCAGCTTTCAAACTTCAGCTCCCAGAATTCCTCAGCCAGCCAGAGTCCCTGAGCCTTAGAAGTTGCCAACTTTGGAGACCCCCGTTTTAAGCCCCCTGGTGGGGCTGTGTCTTCACTGCGGCCACGCAGGGACCATCCAGCTGGGATTCCTTAATTGAATTGACCTGCCTGC